TGTATGTATATACATATTAAATAATGCAATTCTTTATTCATTTATTAATTAAAGTGAGCCGAGTGGAAGAAAGAGTGAAAGGCAACAGCAAAAAAGTATTAAAAATCAACGGTAATATTTTGCCCTTTAAACGTGTACATTATTATACGAAATTAAATTGGCTTCTCAAAATTAAGAGTGAAAAGCTGAAAAATTTTTTGATTTGTTAAATTTTTGTGAGTTTTTCCCAAAGTTTTAAACTTTAATTTATATGGCGTATGCTATACAATTTTTATAAAAAAATTAGTGAAAGAATTTAACATATATATATATATATATTTGTTAAATTTTTGTGAGTTTTTCCCAAAGTTTTAAACTTTAATTTATATGGCGTATGCTATACAATTTTTATAAAAAAATTAGTGAAAGAATTTAACATTTAAATATTGTTTTTACATTCGTTAATAAATTCAAGCAATTGAACTAAAAAATTTAAGTTTTTTTAAGGGAATCGTGCCATCGTGGATGAATTTGCCGAATTTCGAAACTACGTTGGTGTTAAAGATCATAAAATATTTCGAGTGTCAAACGTTCGCTGGTTATCGCTGAAGTAAGCTGTTGATTATTCACTGTACCAGTGGAAAGCGTTGCAATTATTTTGCATATTTTGTTTCGGTGACGGTGTGAACCATGATACAAAAAAGAAGGTAGTTTCATTTAATGACATTCGTTGTTTTTGTTAACTTTTAATGAAATTATGACATTTCATCAAATGCATGCTACCTGATCAGGAGCAGTAATTTTTTATTTAAGCAGAAGATTTCATCAGTCCACTCAAAGATATCGAATATGATGAACCTGAAAATTAATGCATCATCTCAAAAAGGGGGTTGACGAAACTAGGTTTCAGAACAATTTATTCACATGGAATTGGTGATTATAAAAGGATTTATTTGAAAAGAGAATTCTTTAGAACTAGATTTTTAAATTGCAAGATTGCATACAAAATAAGAAAATGAGAAAATAACAACATAATGCTCTTGTCTCCTTTAACATTACATATTTTATATATTTTTAATAAAAAAAGGTGCGAGCCACGTAAGTAAAAAAATTACCAAGCACTGATAATGATTTTTCATTTGATATATTATTAAATTGGTATAAATGTGGGAAAGAAAATACTCCGATTTATTGTTTTAATATTATAAAAGTGGTATGGCCGTTGAGATAAACTTTATAAAACTTCAAAAAANGTGAAATTATGACATTTCCTTAAATGCATGCTACCTGATCAGGAGCAGTAATTTTTTATTTAAGCAGAAGATTTCATCAGTCCACTCAAAGATATCGAATATGATGAACCTGAAAATTAATGCATCATCTCAAAAAGGGGGTTGACGAAACTAGGTTTCAGAACAATTTATTCACATGGAATTGGTGATTATAAAAGGATTTATTTGAAAAGAGAATTCTTTAGAACTAGATTTTTAAATTGCAAGATTGCATACAAAATAAGAAAATGAGAAAATAACAACATAATGCTCTTGTCTCCTTTAACATTACATATTTTATATATTTTTAATAAAAAAAGGTGCGAGCCACGTAAGTAAAAAAATTACCAAGCACTGATAATGATTTTTCATTTGATATATTATTAAATTGGTATAAATATGGGAAAGAAAATACTCCGATTTATTGTTTTAATATTATAAAAGTGGTATGGCCGTTGAGATAAACTTTATAAAACTTCAAAAAATTTGATTATCCGTCAAAAGTTGTTTATTGAAACAACCTTCTTTTTGTATCATGATGTGAACCAAGCGCGAGCTATTGCCGAAAAAATTAATTCCGCACCAATAAAAATTTTTATTTATTATTTTTGTCAAATATGTTTTGGATATTGTCAATATAATGAACATAGAATTTCAAAGTAAATCATACAAATTGCATAAGTTATATAAGAATTTTGAAAGTAACTATAAACTTATATTTTCTTTTTTCGTCAAACTTAACTGTGTGCCAAGTAACCCAGCTGATATAGACGTTTGTAACCCAGATAATCATTTACCTCTAAAGGAAATATATATAAATTATCAGCAATGTTATATTGAACTTTTTTGGCAAAAAAAAAGAGATTTGATTTTAACAGTGAAATTTTGAAAAGCCTTGCATGTATTAATCCATTGCATTAGCGCACACAAGGGGTGGGTTTTAGGGTTCAAACCCCCCCTAAAACTAATAACCCCAAATACAAACTGTATCTTAAAGCTAAGAATCCAGCTCTCAAGGAAATCATAAGAAATATTTATTATAATTTCTGTTGCTTGAAAAAAGCGCTTTGCTTTTGTTGTAAATTTTCATGAGAAAATAAATAGACGACCTCTTTTTTCTTGAGAGCTGCAAACTGGTTTAAGAAATTTTGGTAAAAAAAAATTTCTTTTCCATTTCTTGTCCTTCGTTTTATATGAATTTTTCGTTTTTCTTGAGAGTTCAGCAAATTTTTTCGGTATTCGAAATATTAAAAAAATGTGACAATCGTGAAAAATCACCATCTCTATCGAAAACCAGAAACCAGAAATCGGAAAATTGAACATAAAAATGTAAAAATTTCATGGAATCAATAAATTTATTTTTACTGACTTTTTTTTTAAATTTGTTATTAGGTACTTTTAAAAGTTGAGCGCATCTTGAGTTAATGAAAATTTTTTTTAAACAAGTAGTTTTTAAGGAAAGGACACAACCGACTTCAATTCTCATACACAAATTTAGGAGTACCGTTAATTTCTTCATGATCCAATCATCGGATCTANCGACTTCAATTCTCATACACAAATTTAGGAGTACCGTTAATTTCGTCATGATCCAATCATCGGATCTAAACCAAATTACGGGACGACCCTTGAGGTACCATCTTTCCAATAAAAAAAGAATTATTGAAATCGGTTCACGGGGTCCAAAGTTATGTATTCCGACGTATTGATAACCTCCCCTTTTTTGACGTCGGTTAAAAATGTTTGAGTTCTGTTAATCTTATGTAAATAAAGTGCAGTTTATGAATTTTAAAACGTTTATTTATTTATTACATACTGTACATAAAGCTTGCATAAATGTATTTTAAAGAGCGTATTATCTGAAGCGAATTTTCAGTATATTCCGGTGATATATCTTCAGAAATATAAACCGCCCCTAAAATATATTCCTGGGTGCACCCCTGATCCATTGTCATATAAAGAAAGCGCTAATTCGGCATTTTTAACAGTTTTAAATAATTTTCCTAATTTGTAAAAAAACGACAAAGAGGAAATTTGTATACAATGGCAACTTTTGAAATTCGATAATAAAATAGATTTCGTTGAAGTAAGAAAGGGGGAGTAGCAATCTAAAAAACGCTTTAAATAGCTTTTTATATAACGAACTAACTTCTTTTATTTTTCACTTGTTATGTTTGCCGCACAGCTCTACCGCTGCAAAGCGCATTTTCTCACATCTGAATTTAATCGAAACAAATAAAACAAATCGCTTCACTTTGCCAATGGTGGAATGCGTAATGTTTTCGAAATGCCTTAAAAATGATTAAAAAATTTGAATTCTCAGTCGTATAAGTACAAAAAGTATTTAAACTAAAAATAAGATTATATATAAGACATTTTTGCTGTTTTTCTTATAGTAATACCCAGTTGAACTTATACATATAAGACATTTTCTTTATTATTATTATACAAGCTCCAGGTACAACTGATACGTGTTCCATTTTTGTAATCAATAAATGTTAAATTGTTTCCATATTGATACTTTGATACTAAAAATGAAAAAAGAGATACATATTGATACATTTTAAGTCTCTTATCTGCTACAATTTTTCACAAGCCCGCGGTCACACTGATTGTAAGGCACATTTTACTTCAGCCAAAAGAATTTTGCTTTCAGCTGCCATTTCTTAGTATACCTAAATGGAATGTAAACTTCAAAGGCTCGAGCCCATTGCATTACTGCCGTTTGTGTTATTTCACCCAAACCAATGCATTATTCCCACACTACATACTATAAAGAATTTGCTGAGAGACTTGATGGGAATATTCGAAAGTTTTACTGGCTCCAAGGATATTTCTGATTATTTATTTTTATATTTTCAGAAATTGACAATCAAGCGAGATTGGCCTCTTCCTCAATGTCGGAGTCCCCGTCTCTGGCCAATTTGCAGAATAAACAAAATCGTGATCAACAGTATTTGGCCGTGCGTTGCAATCCTGGTGGTGGCCCACCCCGAGGTTCTCATTCTAATGACTCTGGCAGTTTTGGCAAGGCTGAAGGTAATGAATACATAGAAGATATTTGTCCATATGCTACATTCCAGCTGAATAAACAGACATATAGCGAAAGCTCATATAGCGGTAATGTGTACAGTGGGCCGTATCACTCAGTACGAGGCTCATTTGTATACCACGACGTGAAGCCGGAAAACTATCATGTGAGTAATAATATTTTAAAATTTTATTCAAGAATTTAATACTACAATATCGAATTGATTTTATAGTCGAAGGAACCAGAGTACACAAAAGTGCGCCGAAAAGTTGGGCGCCTGCGTGACCCTCATTCGGAAAGTCAAGGTGTGTATTAGTATATAGATTTTTCATGCCAGCAGTGGCTTGATTTCTATGATCTTTTTATACATTTATATTTAAATAAATTTAACATACTATGAGAGCAAAATTTAAATAAATTTAAGATCATTTTGCATCTATTAAAATGAAATAACTATACATACTCATTAAACATCACTTGATCAGCCAGTACTCAGACTAAACCTAATACCTTACCCATATCGAGTCCATTATTTTATCTCTACATATCCTTAGAAGTCCTTGTCCGACAAAAATGCGTATACTTTAATTTTTTGTTGGTAATTAAAATTACATCAGCAGACAATACATACCGGTGACGAACAAAAGAATTGGAACAGTGAATTTTTCGCAATATATGCAAAGTTTTTTATTCTTATTTACTTTATTCCACCATAAAACGTACCATAAAATGTAAAAACCCAATCTCCAAACTTTGTGCAAAACTCAGGTAAATTCAATAAATTTGCAACTTTTTATTCAGATTTTTTAGAAAACTCTAAGGATGCAGTTATATAGAAAGTCCAAGTTTGAGGTTGCTAGAAAATCACGTTGATTTTTGACAATTATTTTACGCAGGGTCTTCCATTCAAAGTATCCCTGTAGGGCAGAGATTCCCAAACCTTTTATTCTTGTGGACCCCTTTCAAAACTTTGCTGGTTTCCGTGGACCCACTGCTGCTACATTTCTAACATATTCCCAAAGCTCGTAAAAAATGTGAAGATTGGATCTAACGATGTAAATTTACGTCGCCGGTGAGTTCCAAAACTGAAATCGGAGTGGCAAAGATAAAGATAAAATATTTTCTTGTGTTCTATCTATTAAAATAATGTCATGTGTGTGAGGCTTGCAAGTTTTAAGAAACAGAGCTCTGAAGAGTTATATCTTTAAGAGCACTCCGAGCGCTAGCGCAATTTACTTTGTCTTCACGATAAACTCCTCGTATGTTCGGATCACTAATGAATTTGCATTTGGCGTATTTATAAAATAATTTTTTGTTTTATCGGTCCGAGTTTTGAAACGAAAAATACGTATTTATCACACATTTTTTAAACACAAAACTTTTAACAACAAAACCGCATAGCTTTTTACGCCAAACTTTAAATTCAGAAACTGACAANATCCCTGTAGGGCAGAAATTCCCAAACCTTTTATTCTTGTGGACCCCTTTCAAAACTTTGCTGGTTTCCGTGGACCCACTGCTGCTACATTTCTAACATATTCCCAAAGCTCGTAAAAAATGTGAAGATTGGATCTAACGATGTAAATTTACGTCGCCGGTGAGTTCCAAAACTGAAATCGGAGTGGCAAAGATAAAGATAAAATATTTTCTTGTGTTCTATCTATTAAAATAATGTCATGTGTGTGAGGCTTGCAAGTTTTAAGAAACAGAGCTCTGAAGAGTTATATCTTTAAGAGCACTCCGAGCGCTAGCGCAATTTACTTTGTCTTCACGATAAACTCCTCGTATGTTCGGATCACTAATGAATTTGCATTTGGCGTATTTATAAAATAATTTTTTGTTTTATCGGTCCGAGTTTTGAAACGAAAAATACGTATTTNATCAGATGTTTGTGCCCCCCTGAAGTGACCAATCAGCAGTTCTAGAAGTTGTCTGCAGTCCCATCTNAGTTTAACACAATCAGATGTTTGTGCTCCCCTGAAGTGACCAATCAGCAGTTCTAGAAGTTGTCTGCAGTCCCATCTGCTCAATGAGAGCAAAACACTAGATAGAACTTCTGAGATTGAAGGCAACATGAGTTTTATTCACCCGCATTCCCTGGATGCCCCCAGTTATTTCTGAGTGAAGTATTCACCCAGTTTCTGATGGTGACTTCGATGGCCGAAGTGGGGAGTGTTACAACTGGTTGCGTATCGAGGAAGTGGTCTAAGCCAACTGTGGCTAAATGGTCAGATGTCTCCTTACTAGATACTCCCGGGTGACCTGGCAAAGCAAGCTCGTTATGTTTACCAACATAATTTTTCGAGACTTGCGTTGCCGAACTAGTTTGGAATTACTTAGATAGAGCGCTGGCCAATGCCTTGAGTGCAGCTTGGCTGTCACTCCAAACACGTAAGCTCCTTCCCCTCCACCTATTTTCCACAACGTAGTCCATGGCTTTGAGGATTACAAACACATCAGCCTGGAAGACCAAAAAATATTCCCCAAGAGAAAGTGAAGCTTATCCCCACTATTTTCGAAGAACAGCCGAGTTCCTGACCCACACTCAGTTTTAGAGCCTTCAGTAAAGTTTCGAAAATGTGTGAGTCCAGGCTCAGTGCTGGAACTAAAACGGCATTCAATGTAATAGAATCTCTTCAACAAAGGTATCCTGTAGCATTAGAAATACGCAAGTGCTCAAATCTCTGCCACCAGCAATTTCCGCCTCGCCTCACTCAGTGTTATACCAACATCCGTTTATTTTTAGTATGCAGGTGGCCTTTAAGGCTTCCCCAAGTATGAAGACGCAGCAGTGCGTCAAGAGCACTATACACCACTCAAATAAATTATTGTTAAATAATGAGGCTATCAAGCAACCATTTTGGTCTTTTACTATCGAAACCAGATAAATTTTCGTGGACCCCCACTGACAACTCGTGGACCCCCATATTTTTTTCATGCCAACGTAGACCCCCGGCGAGTCTGCCGTGGACCCCTGTGGGTCCACCTGGACCACTTTGAGAATCACTGCTGTAGGGAAAGAAACTAGTGCGGAACTGGTTCGGTTCTAGTGCGTTCGGAACCATGATTAGTACGCGTTAATTCTTTTTTTGCATGCTAGCGACTGGCGAATTTAACATTGCGATGTCCTAGGAAGTGTCAGTTGTCCCCCGTTGCATCCCCTTGGCTCTAGTTCCGAACCAGTTCTAAGTTCGACAGATAAGATCTAGTTCGTTTTGCATCCCTTTTTCTATAGTTCCGAACCAGTTCCAAATTCGACAGATGAGATCTAGTTCGTTCTGCATGCCCTTTTCTTTAGTTCCAAACCAGTTCCTAATTCGACAGATGAGATCTAGTTCGATCTGCATCCATTTTTTATATGGAGTTCCAACCTGTTATAAATTCGTCACCTTAGATATATATTTCTAATCAGGCTTGTCGAAACATTTCCCTTTTATATTAAATATGATCGGTTGAAGGAAGACCAATACCATCACAAATGTTTAAACGCATTTATTAAAAATTTATAAACCACATTAGTAGAAGTAGTAGTATTAAACTTAAGTAGTAAGTAAAAAACAAAAGTGCATTCTGCTCAAAAGTAAAAATATTAGTTCACTTTGTCTTACTTGTCTAAATCTAAGCATATTGATTTTTAAGTAAATTCAGTTCTTTTTAAGCTTATATGTATATGAAGTACTTTGAAAGTTTTTGCCGTACCTAAATAAGATATACAGTCAGCCAATAAAGTTTAGGTACAGCGAAGTTTTTACAATACCGGCAACTATTTTAAAAATTTTTTTTTCCCCCAAATTTTTTATAAAAATATGGTTAGTTCTACACCAAAAGCCCAAAAATCAGAGTTTTAAACCTTATGTAAAATTAAAGAAATCTCCGCAAATTTAAATCCAAATATTGCAATTTACACTCTTTAGAAAAACGTTAAGTGCGCAGTTTTTTATCCCATTCAATTTTAGTATAACAAAGTGCAAGTTTGAGGTAGCTAGGACTTACCATTGATATTTAGCAATTTTTTTTTTTTTTGTTTGGTAAGTCCTAGCTTCCTCACACTTGCACTTCATTATACTAAAATTGAATGGGCTAAAAAACTTTTTCTAGAGAGCGTAAATAGAAAGTGAATTATTTTAATGAAATTTTGCAGAATTTTCTTAAATTTTGCACAAGGTTTGGAACTCTGATTTTTGGGGATTTTGTTGTAGAATTGACCATATTTTTATAAAAAATTACCGAAAACTAAACTATTTAAAAAATAGTTGCCCGTATTATAAAAAATTCGTTGTACCTAAACTTTATTGACTGACTGTATTAAGGTAGCTGTGCTGGATTGCATAAAAAAAATTAATTTGTCTTTTCTTAAAAAAAGGTAGCTCTGGTGGCTTGCATTTTTAAATAAATTTAGTGAGAAAGTTATAATTATTTTGACACTTTTTTTTTTAAATGCCTCTTTTTCTGCAACTGCATTGCCTTTCTCAATTGTCCTTCAGAATCTTGGCCTTTGTTTATGAAATCACTAAGTATAATGATTATTAAGCAACCCAAAAACTATACCAGCGTGATTACCGACGTATCCTTTTGAGAGGTAGCCGCACCCTTATAAGAGGAATAGACCCAAACTTTTCCGGTCAAAATTTCAGTAGGTTGCGTCTGTATGGCCTTTTCAATTTTTATACCCGAGCGCACTTGTGCACAAGGGTATTATAACTTTGTTCACATAACGGTTGTTTGTAACAGGCAAAACGAATCGAGATAGATATAGACAAATGTATACATAAATGATCAGAATGAAAAGAGAAATCGATTAAGCGGTGACTGTCTGTCCGTCCGTCCGTCTGTGCACACGATAACTCGAGTAAAAATTGAGATATCTTAACGAAACTTGGTACGTGAACTTCTTTTGGGCGTCGGACGGATGGTATTGAAAATGTTCGAAATCGGACAATAACCACGCCTACCTCCCATATAACGGTAATTTTAAGAAATACGAAAACTGCGATATTTTAGTAACTACTGAAGATAATTCACTCAAAATTGATACTTACAATGAGTTTCAGACGCAAAACATGAATTTTATAAATTTTTGGAAAATGGGCGTAGCCACGCCCACTTATGGTTACATGTGTATATCTTGGTAACCGCTAAACCAATTTCTTCCAAACTTGGCACAGTTGTTGATAATTCACCCAAAATTGATATTTGCATATTTGCAGTTTTAGACGAAAAATAAGAATAGGGCTATTCGCGATCCGGTGCAAATGGCCTAGCATCATTGCATTGCAAATTTGTATTGCAAATTATTTGCAATACA